CCCTTTAAAGTTCCTATAGCAGGGCCGGGGGCCCCCTGGGCAGCGCCCCCGCTGGCCCGGTCCGAAATCCGTCCCTGAGTCAAATTAAGGGATAGACTTCCAGGAACTTCAAAGTGACATATAACTGAGAAGGCAGGGTCAGTCAGCCAGCCCCAGGAATAATAATAATAAACACTTTATTAATCCCTGTGGGGAAATTCTTTTTATGCCTCCCTCCCTCAGGGAGCATACAAAGAGCAAGTTGTCTGTGAAGGACAGCCACCCGTAGTGGTGCCCAGGGATAATATTTGCAAATTGAGTGCTGAGGAACTGGCGACCTTGTGATTACAGGCACACGGCTTAGCCCACTGAGCCACACGCTGTCCCCCAGCAAATGCCCTTGTGGTTATAAGCACACAGGCTTAGCCCACTTAGCCACATGCTGTGCTTACAGAGTTAAGTCAAAAGATGGATGGGTTGTGCTTAAAAATAAACCCTTTTCACAGTTGTACTCAGCACTCGAGCAGGAGCTACACAGCATCTTCCAAAACAAATGTCAACTTAATTTGTGTCAGGACTGGTGGCTTTATAATTTATGGTTGTGGCTTCATCGCTGTGCCTGGTTCTGAGGTTCAGTGTGCGAAGAACTCACATGGAATTTTTGTTTGCGTCTCTTCTGTGTACTGCATTCCAAAAATATGAAGTGACGTGAATTAAATTAATATATATATTTTTTGCCCACCACAAAGAAAATAACTTGTGCGCACAAGTTAATATTTGTAAGGAAGAGGTTAACTATGTTTGCTAGACCTCTAGGTTAAGCTGCATTTGCAATTTTCAAGAGTTTACTTATTTCTTATTTCATTGACATAATTAGACAGACGAATTGCTGTGTGTTTGATGTGACTCGCTTATTTAACCAAATCGTTCTCCTAAAAAAACATTGCTGGCATCAGGGTACAACATAATAAGATACAGTAGCCTTGCAATGAATATTACTCGAAGGAGTAAATGCAACGCTGCTGCGCACTACTTTGGCATTAAGGCTGAGTTACATAGTCCGTGTGAATGGTCGCTACAGAGGTGAAGTGCCATGAACAATACTTTTTTTTTTCACTATTGGTAATCATAGTAAAACAGGTATAAACAGGTTCACTAAATACGTGTCAGTATTGTGATGTATTTACTGTACCTGTTTATCATAGTGTACTATTATTATGATTACCGATAAGGACCGATAAAAAAGCATTGTTCATTTACGTTGTTATGCGCCTGAGTGATTTAAAACTGAGATGCTTCCCGAAATTGTTTTCCTTTAGTTTTTGTGAGTACTTGAACTTTTGTTTTCGTGTTAAATCCATATATGCACATATCACATTAAAAATCCCTTTCGTTACCCACTGCGGCTCTTTGTAAATCTTGGGTCTGACATTTAGGAGAAAATGGCTCTTTGCTTTATAAAGGTTGCCGATCTCTGGGCTTGGGCAACAAATATAAGCACACAGAGAACATTCTGCCTTAGAAAACAAATGACAACAAGGGAAATCCAAAACATTTCAGGCATTTTAGGTCCCTAATAAAGAGAACAAGTGAGGAAAAAAGAGGACATATGATCACCCTAAGGTTACAGAGGACGGATGTTGTGTATTGTTTATTTTTTGGACAAGGAAATTTGCTGAGTATATGGGTTCTTGCGTTAGCTCATGGAATGAGTCACAGGATTCTTTAAGCAATCATTTTCCATTTTCCTGTAGTGATTATTTTCCCCTCTCAGTGCACATACTGCTTTATTTCACAGGCTCAGATCAAACGTTCTGGTTTGTTGTCCAGCAAATGGTGAATCACCCTCGCTAAAAATGTCAGTTTTGAAAGCTATTTCCCAACTCTTACGTACTGGCAGCCCTTTAAAAATAAAGTAGCTGTATGAAGTCAATGGGGTCGAACTTGAAAGCATTTTTGTGCGGAGCCACTTTCTTTTTAATTGCATGACACAATTTAACTTGTATTCCAAGTCGCTACAACTATATTCCTTTTTGTAGGTTTACATATTTATTTTAATTCCATGGGCTTTTAAACTCAACTTTATTCCACATTTTCCAAATAAACATCCTACTTACCACTACAGCAGGTGTCACGGCTGGGGTTGTATGCCCTGCCGTCACAGCAGGGCAGGTGTTCTCCTGCGAACACCTGGTTGTCACAGCAGGAGGTGACAGTGACATCATAGTCATAACAACCACAGCGAGCCCATCTGTCTTGCCTGTCCCTAAAATGAGATACATAGAGAGTGAAAAATTAAGAGCTTCAGAATTATTTCACTTTTTCCCACTAGAATTTAGAGTTCAGGGTAGACACATCACAGCAAAGAAACACATCCTCTGCATTTAACCCATATGTGACAATGTGATGTAACAGGGGGCAGTTAACTCAGTGCCTGGGGAGCAGTGCTTGGGGGCTGTACCTTGCTCAGGGTACCTCAGGGGTATCTGACTGGTTTGGGATTTGAACCCACAACCTTTCAATTACAAGTGCACTTCCCTAACCATTAGGCCACCACTGCCCCTGTGTTTTTTTATCTATTTAAGATCACTAGTATTCAGAGATTAGTGATCATTGTAAACAGCAGTGGTCTCCAACCTTCTTGACAGTGAGAGCTTCTTTTACAAAAAATTTTTAAAATCTAAAAAGTTACAGTGATGGTATATTTTGTCAGATGGTCCTGGGGGCGGGAGGGGGGGGGGTGGTAGAGGGTGTTGTGGTAGACTGGGAACGTTTTTGCTATCGACTGGTTGGCAGCCACTGGTATATAGAATGGAAAAATGCATG